ATCGAACCAGATTCACAGGCCCACACTCAATCCACTGAGCTATACCAGCCAGGGCTTTGAAAATGAGCATTCTTAAAAACAAAGACAAATGGGTTAGCCCAAGAGAAGTGACTACAGTATTTGACTAAAGTCACTATGATAGACCAGGAGAGGAAGGAATGTTTTGGTAAATATCCTCAAGAATAAGTAGCTACTTTGGAAAAGCAGAAATGGGTAAGAGTTCATTTTTAAAAACAAAAAAAAATACATTATCATGCAATTTGGATTTCCAATATTTCCACTTGCAAGTATACTTCTCTGATCTCATCTTAAAGAAAAGAAATGAAACCATCATTTGGATTTATAAGGAAGACCATTTCAAAACCCCAAAACAAAGGCTACTTTTTATTTTTAGTCAGTTTTTTTTGGACATGAGAGGTTTCTACACCTGTCCCAAAACTACTTTTCAAGTTATCTATTATCATTCGCTTCCTCCTTACTTTTCTTCGTCTGAGGAAAGCAAATTTTATCCTATGGTCTTCGAAACTATTTTATTTCCAAAAGAAATAAAAAACTATTATTAGTTGATTGCTCAACAACACAGGGTGTTAACTAATTAAAATGCAATAACCCCAGCTCAGTAAAAAGACAGATTTATGTTCAGTCTTCATCTTTACAGCTCTAATTTATCTAAGATACAAAAGCAATCAAGTGAATGACACAAAAACAAAAAGAAAACAAACAACAATAAAATTGAACTTGTGACTTAGAAAGGCTCTTAAGAGTTATAAATTGTAATCTCATAAATGAACCTGCCTAGATTACGGCTAAAGAACATGACAGATTCTTTAAACAGCTTGGTAAATTTATAGCAATAGCGTTCTTAGAAAATATTTTTGGGTATTTAATTCCTAGCAAACAATGAGAATATTCATGGGACATATAGTACAAAAATATAGAATTCATATTGTCAACAAGAAATAAAATGTCATGTATAATGTAACAGGGTCCACCAACCCTCTCAAGTTTGTGGGCCTGAGTTAGAAATTTGGATCCCACAGAATCCCTGAAGGTGCCAAGAGAAGAAAGGGGGACCCCAGTAGTTCTAGGTTTCACCTAGGTATAAGTCTCTGTTTTAGTCTGTTCACTTCTTCAATCAAGGAGGCCATGCAATCCCTTCCTTTGGGTTTTTTCCACTATTAATATTTTTCAGATTTGCTTCTAGCCTTCTCACTATATAGAAATTTGACTCAAATTTAGAAGTTTTAGCTCCATGGAGTTTGGAGTTCAATTATTTCTGTGCCCTTTTAGAAAATGGAAACAAATGATGAGCAGAGTTGATAACACTGTACTATATAATTGAAATTTGCTAAGAAATCAGAATTAAAATATCTTCACAAAAAAACCCCATATGTGAGGTGATAGATGTGTTAAGTGGATCCCCTTTCACAATGTACACATATACCAAATAATTATGATGAACACTTTAAAACTACTACAATTTTACTTGTCAATTATATCTCGGTAAAGCTTAACAAAAATAAAACCACAGATTACTTTTTCTATTTCTAGAGGAAAGGTGAATTCAACACATGCAAACCATCTACCTCCTAAATTAAGATATAAAAAATATCAATACCTTATTTGTAAAATTTTTCTACCATAATGTTGAAAAGTTCTGTCTAACACATTTTCACATAGTAAATAATTTATCAAGCATCAATTAGTATTCCTCAATGTGGTTAAAATTATCAAAGAAAAAGAAAACAGGATTAAGACTCTGCCCAGCCCTACTATATTCCACAGTGTTCTGGTGAAGAGTGAATGAGATGGCACACACGGAAGTGTTTTGACTGCTAGAGTACAGGTTGCAAGTTCAAATAACAGCTGTTTTGTTTGAGCTGCATGAATATGAAATTTTAAAATTGAATTAGTCACCTGGATTTTGGATTTGTACTTCTCTTGAAATATGAAATGATCTGGCAACAGTGATTGCACTTGTATTGGCCAAATACTGGATAGTGCCGAACCACAGCTGCTCCCTTGAAATGGGTCTAGAAGGCTTCAGTGTGTCACAGTTCTCAATCCCGACTGATTCCCGAGATGGGAAGCAGGATATCCACTGCCATGCTTTATCTTACACCTGCCCTGAATGTTATTCGTCTAGTCCATACAGGCATGCAGATCTGCAATCCTCACTTAGGTTTTTGTTCTGTCTCCAACTCCCAAATTGATTGACTAGTGATTAATCTACTTATAACCTATCCATCTAACTTCCTTTCAATCATCTTTTCAACATTACTCTCTTTAATAAAAAAAAGTTAATATGAAAAAGGCAGGAAATGGCATCTATAAATATTAATGTACAATATAGCATCAAATATTACTTTTACTTTTATCTATTCTCTATTTCTAAAAAGAAATGGCCTGAAAGAAGAGAGTGCTTCCCCATGTTACAAAGTCTATTCTATAGCTCTAAGTTTTTTTTTAAACTGATTGTTCAGAATTTTCTTCTCAATATTTTATTTGTTTATTTTTAGAGAGAAGGGAAGGGAAGGAGAAAGAGTGGGAGAGAAACATCAGTGTGTAGTTGCCTCTCATGTGTCCCCTACTGGGGACCTGATCTGCAACCCAGGCATGTGCCCTGACTGGGAATCGAATCTTCGACCCTTTGCTTCACAGGCCCATGCTCAATCCACTGAGCTACACCAGCCAGGGCTATAGCTGTAAGTTTTATTCATGCTTTATCCTTTCTCCTGACTCACCTCATAAGCAGCACCCAGATCCTGGAATTTCTCCTGTGCTTGTGGATCATCAGGGTTCCGGTCAGGGTGAAGCTGCAGGGCTAGTTTCCTGTAGGCCTTTTTAATGTCTTTTATAGAGGCACTGCGAGGCACCCCCAAGATCTTATAGAAATCTCTCCTGTGGAGAGAGAAGGAAACTTCATGAGTTATATAATACACTTTTAAAAGTGAAAGTTTTTCTAATTTAATTTTTCATTTTAGAGAGAGGGGAAGGGAATGAGAGAGAGGGAGAGAAACATTGATGTGAGAGACATCGATTGGTTGCCTTCTGTACAGCCCCCAACCAGACTGAACCTGCAACCCAGGCAGGTGCCCTAAGAACTGAATTCACGATCTTTGGTTTGCAGGACAATGCCCAACCAAGCCACACCAACCAGGGCTATAAAGCTTCACTATTACCAATATTTATACTGATATTTTACTTAAGCTCCTTAGTGTACTTATTGCTTTAAGTATAAAAAATACTAACAAAAACAATAAAGCATGACCCAGGACAAATTAATTTTTTTAAGTTAAGATGTTTTACAAGAAAAAATGACAAAGTTTAAGCATATATGCACAGGCAAAAAGCCTTTAAGAAAATAAGCACTTAAATTTCAAAGCTCTACTAGGTAAAACTTTCTCTATTTAGAGCAATTAATTGTTAGAAACTAATACCCTGCTATTCCCCACATTCTAAAATATAAGCCTGGTATATCATATCCTATCGTCACTGGGATTATAGCATCTTAAAGGCTAGAAGGATCTTCAAGAGTTCAGGTGGTCCTATTCCCCTCATACAGGAGACGCATTATTATCCTTATATTACAGATGTGAATTTAGGTGGTTCCTTCAAGGTCACATATTCATAGGTGTGGTGGGGGTGGGAGGGCTAGAATCCTCGTCTGCTACCTGTTGGTGAAAAGCTTTTCTGGCTCATACCATTCAGCTTCTCAAAATGTACCATGGAGAGAGACAGGCATGATGACAGCTTACACTCAGAATCTCAAGAAGCTGTACAAGGGCGCTCCAAAGGGTCTGCCTTTTCCTCCTCAATTTAATTTCCTTCAGTCCCAGCAAGATTTCCCTACCTGTTCTACTCACTTCCTCACTCAACCTGGCACTAACCTACCTACTTTAAGGTCAACTCCCCAATGGCTCGTTGCAGGCTTAACATTATATAGCCCTTTTCTCTAGGTCAACAGCCCCCCTGCCCCCTGCGTTGTGTTTGGCACTGCATCCAGCTCCTACCCCTCCCGACAAATCTAGCTCTATAAGGCCTCTGTCTCTAAGTAAGTCCCTGTCACTCGTGTCACCCATTGCTCTCCTCTCCACCCCAACAACCTGGTCCACACTATCCATTCCTCCGCCCTGCCGTCTCACCATAGCAACGCCCCCTCCTCCTCCTTCAGGCTCTCCCGGCCAGAAATGACTCAAGAGCCCCGTGCCGCGCGGATGCCCGTTCCTCACCCGGCGATCACGGCCCCGATGAGGTACAGCAGCAACAGGCAGAAGGTGCCCAGGTTTTGCGGGGCCATGGTTTCTCGTGCCAGCCCCTATGCCGGCCCCAGTCTCACACACTCCTCAGTGTCTCCGCAGCTGCAGCCGCCGCGTCAGTTCTCCTGCCCACCCGGCCCTCAAAGGCAGCCGCGCGCCGGGGTCTTCTACTGGGTTTGGAGCGACGCAAGCTGGCCCTCCTGCCCCCTCGTCTGCCAGTCTACTTCCCGGGTGTCCCCTGTCCCAGTGAGAGAAGCCCCTAGCAGATGAAAGCCAATCGCCGCTCGGGACATCACACGCGGCCCTCTAGGCGCAGCCAATCAGCGCAGTACACTTCACCTTCCAGGCGGCCCGCGCGGCCAGTTAGGCTTCGGAACTGCAGTCTCACTTTCTAGCCAATTAGAAGGGGAAACGTCAGAGATTCGCGCCGCCGCAGGAATCGGCTCGGCCACGGCCCTCTAGAGTCGTAGAAAACTACGTAAAAGAGCGTTGGAGAAATGAGTGCCCCAAGAGGGTATCTGAGGTACCCGAAGATACCCAGCCCGCCTCCTCTGACTTTTGCCCAATCACGAGGCTTCTCTTTCAGCTCTGACCAATAGTAGGAGGCAAGTTTGATCCACTTTACCAGTCCTGGAATTTCATTCATACGGAACTACTAGCACGATGCGGGGGCCAAGGGATTGGGGCGAAATGGGCGGGGACAATCACTGCAAACACTCCGTACTGCGGAACGCCCTATACAGGAGCTCTTATTTTACCTGCTCCTGACAGCTCAGGGAGAAATGGTCTCGGTTTCGCGGCGAAGAGCCGGTAAGGTGGACAGACTGAAGTTCGGATCCAGCTTCCACACTTACTAGCCGTGAGCCCAAGCTTCTTTATTTACAGATTTAATGTATTTACTGGCAGTGTTGTGACATTTTATTTTTTCAAGATTTTATTTATTTATTTTTAGAGAAAGGGGAAGGAAGGGAGAAAAAGAGGGAGAGAAACATCTTGTTTGAGATACATTGACTGGTTGCCTCTCGCAGGCCCCCAACTAGGGCCCTGGCCAGCAAACCAATCCAACCAGCTACCTTTTGGTTTGCCGGCGGCCACCAATCCACTGAGCCATTCCAGCCAGGGCACTCTTTGACATTTTAATAGGAGAAAAATCTTTAAACCGTCTAGCACAGTTTCTGGCACGTAGTAAGCGCGCAGTGAGTAACTATTATTAGTTATAAGAATTCTGATTCCCCACGCCCCCTCCTACTTTTGTTTATCTCAATAAACGCACCACAAAACTTGTTCACGACAAAACTCTAGGTGTGTTCCTTGATTCCTATGTTGCATCCCCTATCTAAATGTTTACCTATATACTATAGCCCGAATTTGCCCACTGCTTTCCACTTTCTCTCTGGGCTGTCACATTATCCCCCACCTGGCTAACTGGTCTCCCCCTGCCAGCACTCTTAATATCCCATGTTCACTCCTGCCCATCCCACCACCATGATTTCTTACAAACAAACCAGATCATATCATTCCCCTGCTTAGAGGCCTCAAATAGCTTTTCATTGCACTTAGAATAAAATCCCAACTCTTTATGGTAGATTGTAAAACCTTATATGTCTCAATAATGCTGGAAAATTTTTGTCAAAGAAAACCTTATATGATATGTACATTCACTCAGTCAATATACTCCTTACCATGTTCCAGTAACACTGCATTCCTTTCTCTTCTTTGAATACACCAAGCTCATTCCTGCCTAGGGCCTTTGTTCTAGCTGTACTCTCTCTGCCTTAAAACTCTTCTCTCAGATCCTCGAGTGGGTGACTCCTTTTTAAACACAAATAATCAGCTAAAATGCCACCACCTCAAAACAGACTTCCCTGATCAACCAGTCAAAAGTGGCCCCTGCTGAATCCCTTATTCTTACACCACCTTGCTTTATTTTATTGTTTCCATCCCTGCCTCCCATAGTCAGGTGCAGTGGCATGCCAGTTTTATCAGAGCATGAAACTGATTGTTCTGTTCTTAGCTGTATAGAAGGTACCTTAAAACAGTAAGTAAATGTTGCTTTGGCTGTGATCTTTGTATGCTGGCTTCTTATTCTTCAGGCCTCAGCTCGATTTTAACACCGACTCCCTCCCCCAACAATCACTGTCTGATGTTACCCTATTTCATTTCCTTAATATGTATTATCCATTCTCCCTTATTAAAATATGCACCCCAACAAAGCAAGGACCTTTTATGTGTTTTTGTTTAATTCTGCAATCCTAGTGCCTAGCACTACACCAGGCACACAGAGGAGCTCAACAAATAATTGCTGTTGCAGAAAACAAAGGCATAGAGAGAATGTACTCAGGGTCACTGGACTACTTAGTGGTGCAGCCTGGATCATAACCTAGATCTGTTTGAGTAGATTGCCGCTGCACTTTACTTCTTGACTCATGCAGAGTTCAAAGAAAGATAAGGCTATGCTTTCAGAAAGATGCCTACTAGATGAGCGAAGCTCCGTAAAAGAGAAACTATTGCATTTTATGGTCTTTTTACCTTTGCATCTCCCATACCTAAAAAGACCATAAATGAAGAAAGCAGGAAATGGCTAAAAGTTATGAAATGCAGGTTTAAAGGAAGGAGTGATATCTGCTGCTGGACAGAATCCAAGAGAGCTTCATAAAGGCCTGGATTTGTATCTTGGCTGGAGTCTTGTTGTGTGCCCTTCGGTGTGTATTACTGTCACTCCTCTACGCCCTAGTTTTCTCATCAATAAAACAAATGTATTTAACCTAAAAGGTTCTTGGGAAGACTGAGATAATACACATAAAGGTGTCCAACCCAGAATAAGCACCCTAAAATATAAACTGTCGTTATCGATATTACTGATCAAAGCGTGCTGACCTTTCTAGCTGTTACTGTCTGCCCACAGTTCTGTGGAACAATTGAAAACTTCCTACTCCCCTGAGTTGAGAGGCTCGATACCAGAAGACAGCCCTGTATGGCTCCAGGTCCCAACATCCAGGGAGCTTATCAGCTTCCGCCAAATTTTTCTAAGAAACGGTCGGCCGCTCTAGCCATTTGGTCCTCCAGGTGTCGGTGGTGTGAAGCCTCGCGCTTGCGCGGCGTGGGCGGAGGCGGCAGCGGCGGCGGCGGGCGAGAGGCGTTCCAGGCGAGCTGGGCGCGGCAGCGGCTCGAGGAAAAGTGGGATGGAGCGACGTCTTCCTCTGCAGGTAACCGCTCACAGACCGGCGCCGGGAGGAAAGGGTGGGCTTGTCACGCCTCAGGTTCCGACAAGCTGAGGAGGCTTCCTTTGCGCTCGGCAGGTCTCGGTCGTCTCCGGACCCCGTCATCTGAGGCTTCTCCGAAGTCCAGTCGAGCGCTCGGGCGGCCCACGCAGCGTCTTACCCCGGACAGCACCCGAGAAGGTGGAGAACCTTCTGGAGGACCGCCTTGGGCCTCCCTCTCATCTCCCCACCTGAAAAACCCTACTCCCAGCGCACCCCGGGGGAATCTTTGAAGAAGGAAAAAGCCCCAGTTTATCTGCGAATTTAGCCCTCTCGAGTCCCGGAGTTAATTCATATAGAGGGTTCATCTCCAGGATCTCTGGCTTTTGATGGCACCATTTAGACACAGGAGCTCAGAATCTCCCAGAGCTGCCTGTCTCCATTTGGGGGGAACTAAGATCTTCTTCAAGTAACTTCATCGTGTGATTTTATTCGGAACCATGCTGAACCATTCCCATATTTGCAAACAGCTGCCATCTACCATCTCACACCCTTTCTTTGGGTCCCTGTTCCCATAGTCATCCATTTGGAACATGGCCATATATGGCCTCATGTCTGAAGCCATTCATTCTGGTAAGTCTTGTCTGGATTCACTCCCATTTTTCAGAGGTTTTCCCAAAACTGACTTCTTAAAGAACATTTGTATGCAACACAGTTCTCAAGTCAGACAGACTTGAATTGCAGTCCTGAGCTGTGTCATTTCAAGTATGTGACTTTGGGTAAGTCCCTTAACTTTTCTGAGCCTCCTCCATTTTTTCATCGGAAAATGGGATAATCATACTAATCTCCAAGTGGTTGTGGGGATGAAAAGAGGTGAAGGATGAAAAATATTTAGCATGCTACCTGGCACATAGTAGGCACTCAGTTGATGTCAGTTATTTCTTGAACAGATAATTCCTCAGAAAAGCACAATTTTCTCAGAATCAAATGCAGAATAAATAATAACAAAGCATTTTTCATCAGTCATACAAGGAACGTCTTATTAAGTGATGTTACTTAATGTGAGGAGTTCTCGGTGAAGAGAGTACCTTGGGTCAAGTGAAGGTACAATTTCGTACAATCCTTTTGGGAAGCAGTGGAACTATATGTCAGGAGCTTCTTTCAGAATTGTTCGTTATTTCACAAATACACATCAGAAAATTTTCTCCTGGGAAATAATCCTAATGCAGAAAATACGCAGAAAGGTGTATTATTCATGATAGTAAAACTCTTTAAACTTTTTATAATGGAAATTTTTAACATAAAATTAGACTAGTTAAATGACCCCCCACTGCTCATGACCCATCTTTAACAGTGATTAGTATTTTGCCAATATTGTTTTTTTCTGAAAAATTTTAAACCTACTAAAAACAGGAGAACAGGCAAATAAGCCAGGGTACATTTATTTAGAGTGCTATGAAGCTTTTAAAATAATGTAGAATTGTATATATGGTGTTATCACAACTATGAAAATTCAAAAACTAACATCCAACCTATGTGTAGAAAAACAGAAAAGTGAATACAATAAAATATTAATTAGTTTCTGTTTGGTGGTGGGACTGTGGATGATTTTCTCCTTTTCTGTGTTTAGATATTTTATAAATATTTCATAAAAAGTATGTATTGATGTTATAACAAAGAAACAACAAACAAAATCTAAAAATATTGCGCCTAAACATAATAGAGTATACCTGTTACTGAGAATAACTTTAACTTTCCCTGATCTATTTTTGTAGCCTACATTTACATAGGCACCCTTCTGCCATCTTGTTTTAGTGCTTCATATTACATTTATATGGTCAGCTAACACATCCAAATCTTTAACCAATCATCCTTATGTATAAGTGATTTGACTCTGAAGTTTTATTCTCTTAATTTTGACTGGCATTCCCCTTCCCAGCAGAGTAAGATTTCTTGTGATAGGATGACTGTTTTTTCCATTTCTTCTTTTCCTTAATTCATACCTTATGAACTTAAACACTGCCTAAAACAACCACTTCAAACAATTCAATAAAATAATTTAGTTTTATCACAAAATTTTTCTTATTTAAGTAGATTGTAATAATAACTGGCCAAAAAAATCTATTCTGCTGTTGGTTGATGAGCTAGATCTGCTTTTTAAAATGATATAGTACATTTAAAAACAACTAGTTAAAGGAGGGGTCACTTTACAAGAAAATATATAAATGAGTTTTGTTTCAAATCAGTTTCTGAAGAAACTTTGTTTCCTAGGTATGCAAAGAAGACTTTTTACACAGATGTCCTTAGAGACAATATGGATCAGTCCGGAGTTCTCCTCTGGGTGAAAGCAGAACCCTTTATAGTGGGCACCTTACAGGTCCCACCACCATCCAAGTTCAGTCTTCACTACCTCAGGAAGATATCCACCTATGTGCGAACCCGGGCCATAGAGGGAGCTTACCCACGCCTATACTGGTCAACCTGGAGGCACATTGCATGCGGGAAGCTACAGTTGGCTAAGGATCTGGCGTGGCTTTACTTTGAAATCTTTGATAGTCTTACAGTGAAGACACCAGAGGAGCGTCTGGAGTGGTCTGAGATTCTGTCCAGTTGCACATCTGAGGATGAAGTTGAAAAGCAGAGAAATCAGGTATGGATTTGTATGTATATGTATGTGTTTAATTACTTTAGGAAGTAAACTTTTTATTTTTAATTTTTTATATACATACTAGCTATACAGTGTGTGGTTTTAGGTTAATGACCATTGTAATCCCAAAGCACCATTTGGATTTTAGCAGTTCCAATTTGGCATATTTAATGAATTAGTCCTTAGCAATCCTTATTCACCTGCTTCCAAACCAATAATGTTACAGAAACCCTATAATTGAAAGAAAGAAATACTTTTATTGACTTTAAAAGTGTTTTGAGGTCACTGAGTGCTTATGAACCACCATTATGAACCACCTGATTATTTTTAAGTGTGCGTCTGTTGTGTGCGGGGATTCAAAGATTAGAACAGTATCTCTGCTTTCATGGCTTCATGGAGCTCATAGACTATTAGGGGAAGCTGGTGTGCAAAAAAGTCTATTTCATGGTGTGAAATGTCCAGTAATAAAATTATGCATAACATACAGAAATAGAGAAGAAAATGATAGATTCTGATGATTGGAAGGGACTTCACAGAGAAAGTATATTCATCAGAATAGGCTAGTTACAGTAACAAGCAATCCAGCATTTCAGTGGCTTACACAAAACAGTTTATTTCTCTCATTTATGCAACAGTGCAACACAGGGCAACTCTAGGCTGCTGTTGTCCAAGCAATGACTCAGAGATCCGGGCTTCTTCTATCTTTTGGAGCCACTATTATGTTAGTCAGCTTTGCTACAGTTAAAAACAAACAAAAAAATGTCATTCCAGTGGCCTGCAGTAACAAAGGTTTATTTCTTGCTTATTTTATTTGTAGGCTGCACCTTAGCTATGGCTCTCCTCCAGGCTATGGCTTGGCTATATGTTCTTATTTGGGGGACCCAGGCTGAAGAAACAGTTTCTGTGTAGGTCATCTATTCTTGGGACAGAAGGGAAGAGCGACAGAGCAGGAGGAAACTCATGATGTCTCTTAAAACTTTTGCTCAGATATATGACATAAACTATGACTACTTTCATTCCATTGGCTCATGCCTAAAATCAATGAGGGGGAAGGTACTACCTCACAGGAGGTAAGGAAAATCCCATGGTTCATGTAAGCCTCTTCAAGAATAGGGAAATAAACAGTTGGAAATATAATACAATTTGTCACAGCCTTGCCCACTAGGGCCTCATTGCCCTTCTCTTCCATTTCTTCTCTTCCTGTCCTTCCATTTCTTTTGGGAGAGTTTTTGGGAAGCTTGAAAATGGTGTATGAGAATCCACCCACATTTAATTGACTATAACAAAGCTATACCACAGCTAACTTGAAGGGAGGCTGGGAAATGACATCTGATTATGTGCCTGGGAAGAAAAGAAAAGGTATTAGTATCTAGCCAGTCTCTGCTACATGGGATAATATCTAAACAAGGTTTCAGAAATTGAAAAAGCAACCAAGAGGTTTGGCATGCAACCAAGAGGGGAAGGGCATTATAGTTATTCATTAATCAAATATTTATTGAGTGCCTACTATGCATTAGCCACACAGTAGAGAAATGCTTACTATGTGGTAGATTCTCTTCTTGTTAGGAATATAAAAATGAAAAAGACAAGGATCTTGTGGTTTCATGGGGAAGTAGGTATATGAAGCAGTTATATAACAGACAATGTAACATACAGTTATTCAATGGAAATATGAGTAAAATTAGGGAATTATGCTAAGTTTATAAAAAGCCAACCCCAAAAGTTTACATACTGTATAATTCTGTTTATGTAATATTCTTGAAGTGGGTTTATTTATTAAAGGGCACCATGAAAGATTCTGTGTTGATGGAAATGTTCTGTAACTTGACCGTCAATGTTAATATCCTGGTTGTAATAGTGTATTACAGTTTTGCAAGATGGGAAACTGGGTAAAATATACATAGGATTTCTCTCTTAGTTCTTACAACGGCATGCGAATCTAGTTATCTCAAAGAATTTAAATAAGAAAGCAAAATGTTTGAAAATATATGGATTTATGGGGCTCCACATTGACAGTTGATTGAATAGGTCTAGGTGATCCTATTAATCTGTATTTTTAAGTTTGTTAGCAATAGCAGTTTTTAGCCAGGTTGGGAATCAGTATGAACATAAGTGTATAGTCCCAGGTTTATTACTTTACTTTTCTTGCCTTTCCTGTATGTGTATGGAATGCATATATGAGCATAATCATGAGCTTTAAAACCTGAGCTTCAAACCATACCCTTCAAATAAGAAATGACTTGTAAACTCCATCAGACCAGTCATTTTTAAGTGAAACAAACATCCCTTTAAGAATTCGATGAAAACTTGATGTTTGTTCCCTGCAAAATGCACACACACATTGAAAAGAATTTTAGGTGTTGCACTGATATTTTAAACTTTCTTAATAAGTCTGTGTGTGAACCTTAGGTTAACTGACCTCTGTGTCTTAACTAAATTCCCTTCTTTCATTTATTTATTTACTCATTTTGCTAAGGGTTTTAAAAAAAAAACTAACTTTAAACTTCTGAAATAATACACTTTTAAGAAGTATGTACTTCTTCAGTTTTGGAAAAGAATATCTGTGACTATAGATGCTGCATAGCTTTCTGAGAAGGTGACTCCAGTTTAATTAGTTTATTTATTTATTTTTAATTGAATTTATTGGAGTGACATTGCTTAATAAAACTATATAGGTTTCAGGAGTACAATTCTGTAATACATCAGCTGTATATTGTATTGTGTGTTCACTACCCCAAGTCAAGTTTCCTTTTGTCACCATTTTAATTAGTTTTAGAAACGACTACATCTGGGTTTCAGAGACATATCAAATGCTAGCAGTGTTTTCATATTTGTCTTCTAGGATCAGCAAACCATTGTGAATTTTTTTTACTATACCTGTTTAGTTGTAGACTAGTGAATTATGTAATTTCAGGACCTGTCTTCATTATTTATTTTCTTCTTGGACAGCTTTCAGTGGACACCCTACAGTTTCTGCTGTTCTTATATATACAGCAGTTAAATAAAGTCTCCCTAAGGACATCTTTGATTGGAGAAGAGTGGCCTACTCCCAGAAACAGGTCTCAGTCTCCTGACCTGACCGAAAAATCCAGTTGTCATAATAAGGTACTGTTTAAATTTTGACGTTTTTCTCTGAATGAGACAGTCATTGAGGTGAATGGTTTGCCTTCATTAAAAATTATGTTGGATTTCTTTTCTTTATATAAGCCATTGATTTGCTGGCTTGTTTTTGTTTTGTTTTTTTACTTTTTTTCCCAAATTATAAAACAAAAATCAATGTGTAATCTTAATATAGACAAGTGATTTCAGTTCCTTTACTGACATAAAAATTAATGTGATTTTTGGGCAAATCATTTACTGTACTTTTACTAGCATTCCCATTTTTGCAAATGTTAATGAATTTGAATCTACTTTTTTGATTAAGGATAAATAAGATGCAGTATTTACAAAATCTGTTGAAATCTACTGAAAAAATTCTGTAAAAATATCTTATATATTTAGGTAATATGCTTAAGTACTTAAGATGAGCATGTTTAAGTAATTATTTATAATGTGATATATACTAGAAGTTAAATGTAACTGCCTCACATTGCGAGCTTTAGAAAATCTTATTTTTTCTGTTTTTTTATAAAGAAACCCAAAATGTTTTTATATGTTTATATACAGTTTTTTTTTAATTTTAAGTAAAATGTAGATCTCAGTAATTTTGCCATGTGCAGACTCTTTAATATCCTTTTTCAGAGAAATCTTTTCACCATTATATTCCATGATGCTATTCTCTCCTGGTTCTGCTTCTTATTCTTTGTTCTCATTTTTCATGAGCCTCTTTCCCCCTGGCCCTTACAAGCCACTATTCATTTAGGATTCTGCCTGTGGTAATTTTTAATTCTTTCTCTTCCCTTGACTTGATCATTTCAGTGACTCCTGAGTTTTTCTCCATTCTAGATGTCCATCTTGACATATTCCCTATTCTACCTTAAATTCAGAATGTACAAGTCCAGATATATTAGAGATGCCAACCATTTTCTACTCTTTTCACACATAGTTCCTGTTGAATGAACACCATTTAGAGACAGTGTTTTTTTTTAATATACAGGGTCTGGCAGAAGTAAGGTCTGCTTGAGTGGTGTGGTTGGTAGGGTAATAACATGGTAATAATTTATAGTTTCAATTTGAACATTTCACCTAAAATGTCATATGGTGTGCTTGAGTGTGATATTGTTATGTCACAGAATTACATACTTATGATTTTGTAATAAAAGAGGGGTGTTATTTATGCCAGACCCTATATATTTTTTTATTGATTATGCTGTTACAGTTGTCCTGATTTTTCCCTCTTTGCCCCGCCTCCCGGTATCCTCCACTCCCTCAGGCAGTCCCCACACCATTGTCCAAGTCCATGGGTCATGCATGTAAGTTCTTTGACTACTCCATTTCTTATACTGTACTTTATATCCCCATGGCTATTCTATACCTACCAATTTGTACTTCTTAATCCCTGCACCTTTTCCCCCATTTTTCCCCTTCCCCCTCCCAACTGATAACCCTCCAAATGATCTCCATATCTATGATTTTGTGTCTATTCAGCTTGTTTGCTTAGTTTGTTTCTTAGATTCAGTTGTTGATAGTTGTGAATTTATTGCCATTTTAATAATCATAGTTTTGATCTTCTTTTTCCTTAAATAAGTCTCTTTAACGTTTCATAGAATAATCGCTTGGTGGTGATGAACTCCTTTAGTTTTACCTTGTCTGGGAAGCTCTTTATCTGCCCTTTCATTCGAAATGATAGCTTTGCTGGGTAGAGCAATCTTGGCTATAGGTTGCTTTTCATACTGCTTTTCATCACTTCAAATACCAGTCCCTTGTAGCCTGCAAAGTTTCTTTTGAGAAATCAGCTGACAGTCTTATGGGAACTCCTTTGTAGCTAATTACTTGCTTTTCTCTTGCTGCTTTTAAGATTCTTTCTATATCTTTAGCGTTTGGCATTTTAATTTTGATGTGTATTGATGTAGTCCTCTTTGGGTCCAATTCATTTTGAGACTCTCTATGCTTCCTGGACTTGTATGTCTGTTTCCTTCACCAAATTAGGAATTTTTTTTCATTATTTTTTCAAATAAGTTTTCAATTTCTTGTTCTTTCTTGTCTCCTTCCAGGACCCCTATGAATTTGAATGTTAGTATGTTCAAAGTTGTACCACAGGCTCCTTACCCTGTCCTCATTTTTTTTTTTGTATTTTTTTCTTTCTTGTCATTCTGATTGAATGTTTTTGTCTTCCTTATATTACAAATCATTGATTCTTAGCTTCATCTATTCTACTGTTGATTCCCTGTAAATTTTTCTTGATTTCACTTTGGGTAAGCTTCATTATTGCCTGGATCTTTTTTCTGCTGTTGAAGTACCCACTGAGTTCTTGAGCATCCTAATAACCAATGTTTTGAACTCTGCATCTGATAGATTGCTTATGTTCATTTTGTTTAGTTTTTTTTTCTGGAATTTGTTCTTTTATTTGGGCCATATTTCTTTGTTTCCTCATTTTGGCAGCCTCCCTGTGTTTGTTTCTACGTATTAGGTAGAGCTGCTTTGACTCTCTTAGTAGTGTGGCCTATTATAGAAAAACGACCTGTAAGTTGGATAGGCCGGAGCCTTAGGTAAGTGCGTGAGCAGGGCAACCCATGTGAACCAGGTTGATGGAGACTCAGATACATTGCCACTACTCTGGCTCTGTGTGGGGGAGAACTCAGAAAAAGGACAGCGGCTGCTGCCTGGCCTCTAGAGTTTTGTCCTGGAGGAAGCTGTCCCTGGCACTTACCCTGATGTCAGACACTTCATTTTCTCCCTATATGCTTCTGGTGTCTTTCCAGTTGTTGCCCCGGTGTTGGAGCCCAGAAGTAGTGAGTCTTTGTAAATTCTGAGACTGTCGTGGGCCTTTTAAGAGGAGACATCTGAGGAACCCAAAGTTTCCTCTGCTGCTCCAACCCCCACTGGTTTTTACAGCCAGAAGTTATGGGGACTTATCTTCCTGGCTGGAAGCCAACCCACTGGAACCGTGGGTTGAGTGGTCTGGTATGGGATTGGGATCACTCGCTCCTAAGGTATCCCTGTCAATTTTCATCTACCACACTTGGGTATGGGATCACTTACTCCATGTCTCCACTTCTCTGTCCCTCCTACCCATCTGAATGAATGTGACTTTTTAAAAATTCTTTAGTTGTCAGATTCCCATACATCTTGAATTTATTACGATTCTAGGTGATAGGGTTTTTTTTTTTGTAATTTATTTGTAATGCTTGCTGTGGTTGTGCAAGAAGGTGAGCCATGTTTACGCATGCCTCCGTCTTGACCAGAAGTGTTAGAGATGGTGTTTTGAACTAAGGTAGACCTACATTCAAATCTGGCTGTACCATTTAACATCACATGATTTTAGGCAAGTCAGTTAACCTCTCCAGGCCTTGGCTTCTCTTCTCCAAATGGGGGTGATAAGGCCTATTTCTGAATGGCTGTGAGAATTTAGAAATATGTTAGCATGAGACTTATTGCATAGTAAGCACCAGTAAATGATGATTCACATTTGAGCTATAGTGTGACCTCTACCAACAACTGCTTAGACCAGGGATGGACACTTGACTAGGGCATCCAATTCATTGCTATGTACTTTAAATTAGCCTGATTTGAAATTATGACCTTTCCTAATTAGTATTCCCAGGGACTGAAGAAAGCAATTGGTGATGGGTACTTGAGGTGACAGCTCAAATGGCATCAAGTTCATGAGCATCCTGGAGTTATGAGGGATTAGAAACTCTGCGGTAATCTGGAAAAAAAAAAAAGTGAATTGAACAGATATGCAGAGACACTGGCCCTGAGACCCAGGTTCTAGATGGCTTTCCTGTTACACTTCTGATGAAACCTACCTGTACTGTAGTTTAGAAGATGATTGTGTGTCCCTACAGTGCAATCACCCTTTACTTGAATTAACTTGTATTCCCTATGCCAGTGAAAGTCACTACCAGCCATCCATGTTCTTTTTCTCATCAACCATACCTCATTAGTTACCATCTTACTGATTCTGCCTCCAAATAACTCTAAAAATTTGTCCCTTTTATTTCTTTTTTATAGGCCCTAATGCAATTTTTTTGGCTTGATTTCTGTAATTAAGTCCTACCTTGTTGCCCTGCTGTTAGTCTATAGTCCACCCACTACACTGGACTTTCTAAAACACAGATGGATTATACCCTTTTTCTGTAGAAACTTCATCAGTGAATTGTCATTGTTGTTTTCATATAGTACTCTATGGAACTACTGCAGGCCCTACTATGGGGAGGGCGACTTGGCTAGAAGGAGAAAGAACAGGTGAGGCTGTGGACAGCTCTGCTTTTATACATATTTTGGCATCCAAATTAGATTTTTATTAGAACAAAGGAACACAAAAAAGAAGATCCAAGATGGTGGAGGTGTAAGTGGAAGCTGCACAAAACTTCTCCCAGAACCAAACTGGAATTACTGCTAAGAGAAGTCACCCTGAATAGCCAGGTGAACACTAGCTGGAGAAAAGCCTTATAACCAAGGACAGACAGAAGAAACCGCTTCACCACAATGTGACTGGTAGTGAGTGTGGAGGAGGCTCAAGAGGGCTGGCTAGGCTCCTAAAGGCAGCATCTAAAGTACAGGGGGCTATTTCAGTGGCCAGGGGGTTGCCCCTGAGAAGTGTGGTATCAAAACCCCAAGCTGGGCTCCCCAATGTATGGCACCAGAGCCAGGAAAAGAATCCAGATACCATCCAGCTATGGAAAGCATCAGGGCTTCTGTCCACCAAGGAGACAGCTGGAGATGCACAGAACCTCTTAAAGCAAGGGTTCCAAACCTGAAATCATGGACTAGTAACAAACGGGGCCTGTTAAGAACTCAGCCACTCAGCAGAAGGTGAGCTTAAATATAATGCACTTGAATCATCCCCAAATCCCCACTGCCACCCCACCCTGCCAGTCAATGAAAAAAATTTTTTCCACAAAACCAATTCCTGGTGCCAAAAAGGTATAGGATCACTGTCTTAAAGGATCAACACACAAAACTTTGCAGCCACTTACCCTGGACTCCACCAGAGGGAGGGC